TTCATGAAACAGTATGGTAGCGGGACCTAAAATTGCTATTGTCAACTAAGTATTTAATTTCTGAGAATACCTTCTATCTCAAATCCAAGGATTCCACAAAATATTTCTAATCCAAGTTCTTGGTTTAGATGAAAAGTATGTGATTGTTAAGTAAGTATTCTAGAAAGCTGTCTGTTAGAAAATATTACTTTGAGTAGAGAATTATGCTTGTTTATAATATTAATAGACAACGCAGTAATTCATAAATAGCACTTTACCATAAAGAAATAATTTTGCTATTTTTAACTCAGAGTAAATTTGACTCAGCAGGTGGTATAGAGTTTTTCAGCCAAAATGGTAATAACAACAATACCGACTACACCAGCAGCTGCACTTAATTTGCCTTTGGAACACTGCCTAGCATTCAGGAGGTACTTCACTTGAATTAACTCCGCTCAGTTTCATAACTAACTTGTGACATCCTGAATCATACCTATCTACAGATGTGTAGAGTGGTTCAGTATCCTGCTCACGGACACAGAGCCACTTAAGTGAGAGAGCCAGGATTTAAATTCAAGCAGTCAGGCTCCAAGGAACCGAACCTTGCAGGTAAGGAGGGTGGTCCTATTTCCCTCCAGTGTGTGCGCTAGAAGTAGATGGGCCGTCCGCAGCACTCAGAGTCCCATCAGAGTCCCCATGTCCCCAAGGCTCTCGGTCTGCTGCTTCATCAGAGTGCTCTGTATTCACCCCATAAAGAGCCTTCACTCGGAAACCTTCTAATCACCTCCAATGGCAGGACTGCGGTTTAAGGGAGTTTCTCTGAGATGAAATCGAGGCTACCTTCCTGAGCTGCTGTAATGACAACACAAGCTGTTCTTTCAGTAAGTTCTAACTCTTTATAAGAGGTGGTAGGAAAGGAATTGCTATAGTAAGTCTCCATTTTGCAATTGTGGTGTTATTCTGGAAAATAGTTTCCTATGTCCCAGTTATTGGACAAGCTGGCTTAATTTCCACAGCTGAGTTTTCTACATAAAAACTTCCTTTCGTAGTGTTTATCCAAATGAATGCTTTATATACGATTTAGGTGTTAACAGACGAGAAAACCACTGTTAGCTAGATGCAACTCTAGTTATCACCTACTTCGGATCCCTCTCTCCCAGCACGTGTAGCAAATGGAATTAGGTTTCAAAAAAATGACGCTAGTTAGTGCCAGAGGTGGGACTAGAATGAGCCCCTGACTCTCAGTCCAGAGCTCCTTTCACAATACGGTGCTCTTTTTAGGCACCTGACCATGAAAGCTGCCCAAAGCTCAATGGTATGGAAACAAAATAGTATATAAATGTTATCAGAATTTATTGCTGCAAATACTCGTTATAGCTACAACTCAATATTATAAGGCGTTAACTGTCAAAAGTACAACTACATATTTCAGGAATGGGGAAAGCACTTCTAAAAGCCAAAATATAACCAAAGTAGAATCAACATGCAATTTTACAACTTTTATAAATAAAACAGGCCTGAAAAACCTTACATCTATTTTAAGGGCATAAGAGAAAACAGCAATAAGAAGGATAAATACTCCTTTCCAACTATTCTAAGACCTTTGGTACTAAAGCAATAATAAGAAACAGATACAAAAGCTGTACATAATTTGGCTGACCCTAAGAGTCTTGTCACCAATTAAGTTGCTTTCACTATGAGAGAGTTTTGCCTTAAACAAAAATACCATCTGCTTTACCTAAAACATTAAGATGTTCAATTTTCTTGTCAATTCAGAAATCACATCTGTAGCCATTTTCTGAAAAGACAGCAGAAGGCATTATATTTATGGGTGACTGCATAAGGAATGATGTTCAATCAAAATGTAATTTTCATCTACTGGGAGAAAATTTCATTTCTCCAATAACTATAATGCTGTAACATTGGAGGAACATGTTGTACATAAACAGGCTGATTTTCATGAATAAAAAGACCTTAAAAGTTAATGCAGTAAAATAAAGTTGTTTTGTTACTAAAGACAGACACGACAAATATGTTTGTATTCCCTTTGTAGATCTTTGTCAACAACAGAAATCTATCCTGTGTAAGGTTTTTCAGGTGAAAAGAAAAAAAGAAAAAAAAAACTTTATATTGGTGCTATGTCTCTCCATGCAAGTGAGCCATCATATAAGAGGTAAAATGATGAAAACAACAAAACACAAACCACTTTCTGTTTTCAAAACACTTTTAGACACAGTATTGGTCCTGGGAAAGACATTCTACTCTACAATCCAATGAACCAACTGAAGAAGATACAAAACACTAGAGAAAACATCACTTACAGTGAAGGCAAACACAATGTCACAAGGGATAAAGAACACGATTCGAAGAAAAACACACAAGCCATCCAACTACCTATAATACTTTGAGTATATTTTAAGCACCTACAAAAACCCCTAAAACCCAGGTATGTTTTACTTTGAAAAGTAGCCTAATTTCACATACAATATTCTTGCCTAAAATAAAAGAAAATAATAAAATAATGCTGCTCTCCAAATAGGGATGAAATAAATAAGTCCAAAGGCTCTATTTAAAATTTTTCTTTTACCACAAAGTTGTGAAGTGTTCTGAAGTCCAAGATGGGCTTGAAGCCCTTCCTGACTTTTTCAGGGTCGGGATACCTTCACTAAAATCCTTTTCCTTGTTCCTCTTGTAGTGCACGCTTTATTAATCTGCATTTAGAAGGAAAAAAAATCTGGTTCAGAAGAACAGAAGACTTTGAAATACGCCATATCACTTCAGTCTATGCTGTGAACTGCTTTGAGTTAATTAGCTCTGTCTCAGCAATTTCAGAAGACATAATGGACACGGGGAGGAAAGAAGAGAGAGAACAGAGGACTGAGTGTGCAAGAAACCAGAAAACAAAACAAAACAGAACAGCTAAGGACTCTCATTTAATCATCACTTCCCCCCTGCCCAACCCTAATACAAATCACTTTTAAAAATGACTCGTAGTCCAGATATTTACTTTCTCTCTTTCATGGTGCATTACACAGTTCCAACTAACGGGGGGAAAACCTCTGGCATTACAGCAATAACAGAAGAGGATCGTTCAAGATTTGCATTACCTGGCAGATACAGCAAAACTAACGTCAGCTTTTCTTTGCCACTATCTCATCTCCTTTCCCAAGTTTTTCTTAAGTTCTACCAAGTTATGCATTTCCAAATATCATAACTGGAAATGATTATAATCCTTCCCAGATTACAGTTGGTAGTCCCCATGCTAACTCTGCCTTCACAGTGTAACAAAATATCTCATCATAATCCAACACACAGAGGGCACACATTTTTCCTCTCCATCTTCTGCACTCTCCCAATTATGATCCTTGATGAGGTAATTGCAAGATGTTGGAAGCAACAAACAAAATCGCTTTGATTTCATTAGACAAACCACACAACTAAAACACCTTGTATAAACTTAATTCACTGTATAATAATCTGACAACAAACTAGAACCACGCAGCTAGTTAAGAAAGTTTGATTTAAAGTATAAACAATAAAAAGGCAATTAAAACACAGACTAACCAGGCAATTTAGCAGGTGTTCACTGAACACATAACTACTTTGCCATTGCTTTTCAAGAAATAAAACTTAAAACTATCATTTTAAATGCAGTCTGTTCAGCCACTTCCACAGATAAAATCTAAAGCTAATAAAATCTAAAATAATTTTGTACCTAGGAACAAAATCACAGTAGACTAATTATAAGGGCCTGGAAAGGAAGATTCTTTTCAAGTTCACATAAAATTGATGAAAAGAATGATTTAAGATATCATGCCCTGAAAGCACTAAGGAGACAAACTCTGACCACGTTGTAAATCTTTCAGAAATCAGTATGTGAGAATGATGGTAGCCTACTGATAAATATTTTCTTCAAACTTCTAAGTGACAGTAAAAATGTATATATAATAAATATAGTTATATTATTTAAAGCTGCCTATCATAAACTTTAAACTGCCTAACACAAAACCATAAAAAGTATTTTTTCAGGAGGTGCAAGAAAGGAATAAGAATTTCTTTTTTAATTCTGATAACGAGGAAGCCTAATGAATATTCAAGAGGCTAGAACACTAGTAGACAAGCAGAATCAAGGAAAGGACTCTTATAAAGAAGAAAAGTTAGCACTTAAATACCTCTGTGCTTCGGGAATGTGGTACTGAGGGTGAAAAGTCAGCACCACTTGACTTGCAAAAATTTCTTGAAAGACAGACATTTTTCAATTTTTGGAAGGGATGGGAAGCTGGACAAAGAGGAAAAGTTGAGGCACTTAAGCATGATGCTAGTAACAATCCAATGCAAGTCAGAAGAGTTATGGTGCTTTCTCCTGTACTGTGCCTTTATTAGGGAATTTGCTAATTACTTTAAACTAATTATTTCATAATTCTTCCAAACCTTTATTATATAGCTCTACAGTCTCTATCTGCAAAATCTGAAAAATTCTGAAAATCAGGTTTTTTCAAAACTCATTTGGTGGCAAAACCTAAACTGAACTGACATGAAGCCACATAAAATTATTTATTCCACTTGATCTTAATATTCAGAAATTTTAAATTATTTAATGAGCCCTGTCCCAGACTGAAATATTTATGTAATAATATGCCATATATGCATATTATGTTCCTAGAAAATAAAAATTCTGAATTCACAAAAGATTTCAGGTAAAGGATTGAGGATTTTATTTAAAGGTAGGCTATACAAGCAGTCCAAGGCATAGACTTCTTATAGAAGACACCCTATCTGTGGTTCTGAACAAGAAAGAAAAAGAAAAAAACAAAAAACAAAAAAACAAAAAAACACAAGAAATGAAAGGGGAAGGAGAACATGAACATATCCCAGCACAGTGCGACAAAGGCAGGAACACAAAATAAATCTGTCACTGAATGGCTGACTATCTGAACCAAGGAATAAGTATCTTTTAACATGACCCTAAATAGGTCACTAAGAAACAGTAAACATTTAAGAATATTTTCTTTATATATGAATACCCCAAATCCCAACAGGACATATATGCTTTTACTTTATCTCTATCCCAATTCTTAATTTTACAATATCTAATTATGTTTTGGTTTTAGAATAAATGGAAAATCTGTTTCTTTAATAATTGTGTTAGATATGATTTTACTACCTAACTGGTAGGAGAGTCTTGAGAACAGGATTTTAAGAAGCTTCTAGCATCCAGGACTGATTTATTCAGCACAGACCTGTTTCCACAGTGTGCAGAATACAACTCCAGTCTGAGAGGAAGAGGGGAGGGAAGAGTAGTCCATGATCAGAAAATATGGTAGCTGGCCTGAGTCGTCTAGTTAATGAACCTAATGAGTAGATAATGCTAGTTGCCTACCCAATAGCCATTCCCATATTCTCCTTTCCTGACAGAAACTCAATTTTACTCAGGAAGACAGTAATCGTAGCTTTAAAAAAAAAAAAAGCCCTTGATTCTCCATGCTTGTGGCTACGTGACACAGTTCTGGCCAATGAAATATAATTAGAATTCAGCAAGTGGAGCTTCCCAGAAAATTATTGTATCCTCAATTTAATAAAAGTCAGCAGACTCAAGTGGCATAACTTTCATCCTTTGCTCCTCCTACCCCTTCCTGGCTGGAACACAATGCAATGTCTGGAGAACCAGGCACAATCTTGAAACCATGAGAACCACCACAGGCTAATTCAGAGCTGAGAGGTAAAAGGGGCCTGGTCCTTTCATGACCTCATGGAACACATCACAAGGCCCGGACTACCTACTACTTTGAAACTTGGTTTCTTGGGAAGCCAATGTAGCATGCTTTTTGTTACATGCAGTTGAATGCAATCTGAAGCGAAACACTATACCCACAACAAATTATACTGAAGTACCCAAAACTCCTATTGATCTTAAAAGAAGGTAATACTGAATGCAAGATGATTCTCCTAAAGCAAAAATTTTCCCATAAAGATTGATCACTACAAACATACTTTTCCTCAGAGGGATGCTTAGTTTTAAATCTGTCCTTAACTGCCTATCAATTACTACACGTAACTTCTCATAATTGTCACCTTCTCTACCACAATTTTTAATGATCAATCAGCAAACATCTCTTGTATACCAAGTACTTCTTATTTCATTCAACCATTCATAACTTCTTTAATTCAGGCGAGTCTTCTTTATTTTCTCCATGGAATGTGAAAGGCAGATTTCATAAAAACTTAAGCTAAGCCTCAGAATTTACCAATCCTATGCTCTTTATTACAAAATACATGCTAGCACAGGCATCTTCTTTATATAGAATTTTATGAACATAGTTTATTTGACCAATTCCTCGATGGTTATTATTGAACATTTAAGTCTTTTAAAGTATTTTTTCAGATGATAAAGCTGAGAGAAAGGTTTTGCCCACAGTTCTCTTCATCTCTACACAGGATCGATTTTTTCCAGTGCAATGCCTAGTTTGAACGCTCCTGGCACGTATTACTGGGTTACTTTCTAGACAGACTGCTAGGTGTCATGTAAGAATGATGAATAAGACCCAACCTATGCCTTCACGGGGTTTATAGCAAGCATCTTCATAGGAATATTATACATGTGCTATGTGGGACAACAGTGGTTAGACACACAGTCCCATGGGAGCATACAAGAACGACACCTAATATGACTCAAGTATACTGGAAAAAGTTTCCAGAGAATGTAACACTTAAGCTGAGTCCTAAACGATAACCAGGGGTCAATCAGGCAAAGAGAGTGTGTGTGTGTGTGTGCGTGCGCGCCTGGGGATGTGCTGGTAGGGGGGTTTTGTTTTGTTTCCAGGCAGCAAAGGTCTAGAAGTAAGAGAACACGGCATGTTAAGAGAATTGATAGTTGAAGGGCTGAAACACAGAGTGCAGGCTGGGGTAATGTGAAAGATGATGCTAGAGAAACCAAAATGTAGACACATAATTCAAGTTAAAGAGTCTGTAAGTTTAGCCTTAGGGCAGTGGACAAAAGAAGAGTTTTGAGCAGCTCAAACATCATGGCTAGTATCCGTTAAATGCCTACTAAGTACCAGATTCTACACTATAAAATTCATATACGTAACCTTATTTAATTCCTCCAACAAATGTATGAGGGAGGGACGGACACCTGTTACAGGAGTGTCGCCATCACTCAGGGGAGAGACAGTAGCAACCTAAAGGAGGGCACTGGTACTGAAGTTAAGGAGAAGCGGACAAAACTGTGATACGTTTAGGAAGTAGAATGAAGAGACCTGGTATTTGTTTGGGTACAAGGAGAAAGTGAAAGAGACAGAGATGAGCAGGGACTGAAGGGGACACTAATGAAAAACTGGAATACATGATCACTCAAAAATTGAGGCCCAGGTAACTGGATGATGATGCTGAAATTTTATTAAGGAGCTCAGGACCACAGAATATTTGAGTAGAGAGTAGGAATCCGGTTTTATTTTTAATTTAAAAAAAATTTTAAAAAAAGATTTTATTTATTTGACAGAGAGAGAGCACACACACACACACACACAAGCAGAGGGAGAGGGAGAAGCAGGCTTCCTGCTGAGCAGGGAGCCCAATGTGGGGCTTGATCCCAGGACCTTGGGATCATGACCTGAGCCCAAGGCAGACGCTTAATGACTGAGGCACCCAGGTGCCCCAGGAGTTCAGTTTTATACGCACTGAAATGGAGGTACAGGTGGACCATCCCGACGGA